CAAATTGTACAAAAGGACATGTTTGGCATAACAGTGTATGTAAGTACATGGGTGTATATACGTATGCAATTGTGTAGGAATGTAGCTTGTGGTTTTGAATGCGCCGCAGAATGCTTTACTGTTTGTTATCGTCAGACATGTGAGAGTAAGCGATCGATTTTCGTGGGTTGGATAGCATTTTCCGAATATCCACGGGCCAGTGACTTTAGTTTGTGGCGAGTCACATTCGCCACGTCGCTGTGTTGTTAAGCAGACATTTGTGGCTTTTTATAGGGAGAACGCTTGCCAGGCGAAAACCCACCACATCCTGGAACACTGCCGCCGAACTATTTGCTGGAACGGGTTAAACCCAACCACCCAGCTGGCACCACGAGGAGGTTGTTCTGCTAGCCAGCCCTACAAATGCGGCTTGCTGTCTTATGCAATTACCGTATTGTAATTAGCACTATGTTGTTGCCCTTTCCTGCCTGCTAAATAGATGTCTCTTCTGCTAGTTGTACATCAGATATTATGCGCTGTAAATAGACAAATAAATAAATGGTATATTCTCGGTTAAACGAGCAACACCTGCAAAGGCGTGGTCGAATATGCATACAAGTGTAGCATCGTTGGAAGAGTAAAACATTTCCTTCTAATGAAAGGTATAAACGAAAACATGTAGTCCATACGCGTGAGATCATTGTCAGACAATAGTCAGACCAAGTAACATGCTGTCAATGTGGCGCGCAAAAATCAGTCATAGCTGTTGCGTCAAGGTACAGGTTGGGGGTAATTTCGCCATGTAGTGATCCATGAGCACAGAAGCCCAAACAAGGTTTTGTTGCAATCAATGACCATTACGAAGTCGGGATGATCTGTGCTCCATCAGAAATTTCTTCATAGTGAAATCAGTTGCACAGGTTGGATGCAGAAGGCTGAGGACTGCATCAGAGTGAAATATTTAGCTGTGACTTTATTTTGTTGCGAGTCACATTCGCTACATTGCAGCGTTGTTAAGCAGACATGTGTGGCTTTTTATAGGGAGAACGCTTGCCAGGCAAAACCCACCACGTCCTGGAACACTGCCGTAGCTTCCGTTGAACAATAGTGCTAGTCATCTAAGCAACATATCCACCGATTTTGAACACTACTGTTAGCAGTCGGTTGACAGCCAAAATTCTTCCTTGGTTGGCCAAATGGCTCAGTAATGCTCCGGCAGTAGTCGCTGAAGCCGGTCAAGGATGTAAAAGGGTCGCAGTTTCAAATGAGAATGATGCAGGTGAGTAAACACATTGTTAATAGTGGCCGGCATTTCTATTATATTCCCGTCCGGCTGGCAAACCGTAACCAGCTGTCCACGCTGGGCATGTCATGCGGACGGTGAGTGCAGTTGCTTTTTGTGGCTGAATATGTCTAAACAGGCGAAAATGACATTCTCCGAAAAGTGTATTCGGAATTCCTGTAAATGTAAGTGTGATTTTCTCCATGGCTAGTGAAAACTCCATAGAAGGCCATCGGTAAAGCCACTTATACGAGCACAACGCTGTCCGTGAAATGACGTCAGAAAAGCTCCAGGTGACTGAAGAATCGGAACGCTTGAGGCAAGGCAGGTACTCACGCCAGAATTGTTTGTCTTCGGTTGTGGAACAGGGAATCCATGTAAATACATTATTCCAGGTGAGTAGATTGTTCTACTGTGAGTATGAGGCGAGCTAACCCTATTTGTTTAGACCCCGTTAAGGCAGCGTCTCCAGAATGGCAGAAAGAGCTCCATTTGAAACCACGTGTAGGTTTTTCATCTCCCGGAAAAAGGATCAAAGGTTTATACCAGCGGGCTATTGAGGATGGGTCGACCAGTCCCAGTGGATAAACCTTCTTGTTTTGGCAGATGTAACTGTGGATATCTCAGGTTACATATATTATTGTATAGTGTTCTTCGTTGGTATGTCCGTCACATAGGTTGGAGCTTTCTAACTGCCGATGGTTTTCGTTTCTTACAAAATGCTTTTGTTACTTATTTGATCACCCCTTTACAGATGTGTCTCGTTTTACAGAGTATATACCATTTATTTATTTATTTATTTATTTATACTTGCATGCAATGGCCAAAAGAAGTTTGTTCTAACAACAGCGCCTACCAACGCCGCTGATAGGTTTAGTATCTGTTTATTAAGTTTGGCGGTAAATCCATGCGTCTAATTGGTGGAGATAACATGGCTTAGATGAAGGAGTATTAGCTGAGACGGCACTATGAGACTAGATATCAGGACGAGGTTAGCAACCTGTATGCAAATCGAAAGATACCGATGGTAGAGTAAGGGCACAGGAATCGTTTATTAGAGCAGACGCCTCTCACCAAAACAAGACTACAGGGTGAAGGTTCTGCGAAGGCGTTTCACTGTGGCGGAGGAGCTGGCCAATTTTAGCTCGATCGTTTACTGGGGAGGGGTTCTGATAAGCTGCACAATGCACGCGTATGAGGTCATGAGCCCAGACAAAAAGCAAGTGTTTGGAAAGTTAACACGGTTGCTGATCGAGTTTGTGAGATGGCCACTAATGACAAAACACAGCTGATCGAAAAACGCAAATGATTTATTGCGCAATCTGTTGCTGTCGATGAAAGTATTGTTGATATGTTTGACACCGTATACCTCGCCACCTTGATCCGCGGTGTAGACAACACTTTTCATGTGAATGAAGAAATATTGCACACAAAATGCATGCATGGAACAGGAACAGGAACAGATCTTTTTAAGGACGTCTGCCCAAGAGTAACGGAATTAAACCCACCTTGAAATAAACTTGTTGGGCAAGCAACAGATGGACTCCGGCAACGTGCGGCGAACCAAATAGACAAGTTGGAAGGATGGGGATAAATAAACAAAAGATCCGTGCTTTTGAGTTGAGAACATATCATTGCATCTTACAACAAGGCATTTAGTGTAGTAGTCTTGAAACTATAACCTTTAATGAGCACTGTTACACAACCCGTCCATAGTAACAGAGCCAAAAGTTTAAAATTCCGTCTGTTTCAGCTTTTGCAGGAAAGCGATACAGAATTCGGAACCTACCGTATTATACAGAGGTACGACTGCCAAACCCTGATAAGTTCTCATGAAGGTTTCCAAACTGTTTTAGCAAACCTGTAGGATGATGCTGAGCAAGAGAAAAGACTACAGTTTCGCGGGATGAAATATGGAAATCTGAGCCGACGTTTCTCTCTGACATTACTGCTCATATCAACGATTTCAACCCGCAGCTTCAGGGACGAAACCAGTTGACCATTGATTTGCTCGGTTCAGTGAACGCAATTTAAGTGAAGCTGCCTTCATGGGATACGCAAAAGCAGCGATGTAACCTGTTTCGCCTTCTTTGTTACTTAGCAATGTCGAACAAAGTTAGCGCCAAAGTGTTCCAAAATACATACCGTGCTGAAAAATTGAGCTCATTTCGACCTGAGTTTGCACTGGGCTTTAGTGACTTCGAAGAAAAGAAAGTAATTGCGATCTGTTTCGCAACCCATTTTCATCGAACTGGAAACTACACACGCACATTTGCAGAGGGGGCTTATACATCTGCAAGCTAATGCGGAACTTAAAGCAAAGTACGACACTGTTGGGCCTGCACTGTTCATCCGGTTTACTCATGATGGCATGCCCGAGCTTCGCCGACATGTGACTCGGACGTTGGGTAGGTTTAGTATCACATGTCTGTGTGAATAGCCGTTATTTGCAATAAGGATCATTAAAATATCACACTGTAGGTGTCAAACAGATGAGCACCTTCAGCCCATCCTAAGACTCTCCATTACACTGAAACTTGCCCCAAACCAAAATGAGCGTGGCGCCAAGAAAATATAGCCAACATCCAGCACTGATCTATAGGCGTAAGGACTAAAATTAGTCTGCCTTATTTTGAGTATATTTCAACTTGTGTCGGTTTCAATTACTGTTATGGAATAACAAGGAGTTCGCTTTCCACTTTTCAAGGAACGTTCATGCTAAATGACTAGCTAACTTAGGCGTGACTGCCAACTTGACCCTTCGTGTCACTGAGTTTGACACCACCCTGCTAAATGGTTTGTTGTTCACAGGCATACCGTTACACTGTACTAACCGCGGTCCTATCAGTATAGGTCGGAAATACAGCTAACACACCGAGTCATCGACCGCTAGAATATACATCTAAAAATGCTTATCTGGGAATGTACTGTTACGGGGGAAAGGGCGACACCATGACAGTCTTAAGTGGCCACAATGAATATTCCCATTTCCTGAGTAACACCCATGTTCATACTTCGCTTCAAGTATTCGTATATTTTAGTTTGCATTCTTAATATCCCCTTATTGTGATTTGTAGCCCTCTTTTTATCTAGCTTACTTTAGTGGCTACCACAACCGCGACTACTAGTGCAGAAAACTTTAGGATAATTTGGGTGACTAGGGTCTTCTTCTGGTGGTTGCTTTTAGATTACTCAAACCCACAGAACACTTTACCTGTTTCTGCCGTAATGCTCCGCTAGAGAAAAAGCACTCACAGCATTCTCCTTTGTTGAATAATCACGCATGTGGGGTGCATAATGCAAGTTCTTGACTTGACTGGACTTGTTACTGCCGTACTTGAACCAGTATTAGTAAAATTAGTTTGCCCCATGATTATTAGTCAGATTATAGAAGGCCTCCTTACCAAAAGAACGTCTTGCGCGTTTTTTCAAAACTTTTGGTGCATTTGTGAGCTAAAATCGGATTCCGAGTTACCATAAACTTTACTAACAAGCAAATGATCATTCAGAAAATAGAGAGCGCATCCCGCTCACTGATAAATAAACAACTTATTTATCTTTTGTTCAATAGAACAACATTGGTTAAGTAAAATAAATCTAGTATATAAAGTAAGGTGCAGGTGGTTTAATGTTAGGGTCCAACTAACATAAGACCATGCGCTGTGGTTTGTTTTGCTGCACAAATTGCATTTAACTTTGTTGCCGCAGGTTTGCTTCAACTACTTTTTACCGTTGTAACATGGGTATTCTTCTAAGCAAGCATGACAAATCGGATAATAAAAAATCAACATTAAATGGTAATTCGATAACTACCTCCAGACAAATTTTTTCAAAAGAGGTTAAAGTCTTACTTTTGGGTATGTTACACTTATCACCAAGTTCCTATCGTTAATAATTTAGGACCTGGAGAATCGGGTAAAAGTACCATTGTAAAACAGATCAAGTAAGAGCTAAAACTCACCACTTCTTGCTTAAAGAATTATTCATCAAGCGGGTTTTACTGTGGAAGAATGTATGTGTTACAAACCGGTTGTTTATTGCAACATTATCCAAAGCATGATTGCAATAATAAAAGCGATGGGAAATCTATACATCGATTTCCAGTCAGATAAGCGGCAGGTATGCTAGAAACTTTGATGGTACATAAATATATTTTTATTGCTTTATCTCTGGCATTTCAAATCAACCTTTTCATACAAACCTGAGGTCCTCTAGGTCAGCAATTTTTCTGATTATTGTCCGATTCCCATCTGAAGGGCGTTCGAATAGAGTTCCGGTTAACATTTATAGAAGTAAATTAACATGTAGAACAGTTAGCTGTTATCTATGCAAGCAATGCAAATAACTTGAACGCATATTTATCAATAATTGTCTTGTTGCATACGCGCATAGTTTCCTCATGTCACTGATCGCCAAGATCACCATAAAATAACATCGTTATGAAATATTTAAAGGGAGATATTCGTATAAATGTAAGCGACTGATGAAGAAATTGTATGTGTTGTGTCATCGTAATAATATTTATAGGGTTCAACTGATGTTATGGGTACTTATCTTAAATACCTGTTATTCCATTTTAATCCGTGGTCCTACGGAAAGTGTTCGATAGTGCATGTGGTACGGCATTTATATAATAATGCGCAAAAACTTCGACTTAGAAGAATGCTTTGCAGCATTATAATGATATGGATAAGAATTTTTGTCGACTTCGTAAGATTTTTTAGTTTGCATTTAGTTCGGAATATATTACTGTGTAGTTGGACGGCCGAGTGTCCAATGGGAGTTATAGGTATACTCTATGAAAGTATGCATGCTACTTCCTGTGTACTGGCTAATGGGATGTTAATATTACAAAAGCATAATATTTGACATCAATGATCCATGCCGTATGCTTGAACTTCTTTTAGTTATCTTCAAACACAGTTTGAACATCCGAAGTAAAATGATTCATTGGTCAAAATTGCTTTCTTTAAAACTTGTCAAAATTCATATGTCTATCTACAATTCCAGATGGATATAATAACATGTTTCTTCTTTAATGCTGCAGTATAATATTTCTAAACTACATTTTTCTGCTGTGCTGAATCATTCTCTTAATGCTAGCGAGTGTATATTTGATCGTTGTATCAGTGTATTGTACAGGACAAGGGCCAATTGTCAGCTCCGTCGTTTTTGATTAACTGCGACGTTGAGGTAGTTGCTTATAAGGCGGTCCTCCTATGTGTGTTTTGTCCTATATTATGAATCGCAAAATCTTTCCGCAGTCATCCGGTGGCTATCTAGCATCCTATTTTACATCCACTCTCTGCACAATGGCAATTTTGCTGCACTGATTCAACCTTTATTAGATAAATTAATATAATGTCATCTAAATAAGCGTGGTGTTTTCTTTGCTTGTGCTACTTTAGTTGTAGTACCTTTCTTAAAGTTAGATACCTGATTTAAATTCCTTACACGGCCCATCCATCTGATTCCTTTAAACTGCTTCCTCATGTCGCCAATCTGAGGTGCAGGCTTGCTCGCATACAGGTGGAAATTAGTTTTATCGAATGGTATTCGGGTGCGTCTTTATCCACGAAGGATTTTAAAACTGTTACGTAGAAACAAGGTTAGGCTATCTGCAGCTAAACTTAGACAAGGCGCAGCTACCCAGTTGGAGACCGCGCGAGCCAGACTTTATGGCTTATTGGTATCCTATACCCACCTGTTGCCCGTAATTGTAAACTTTTCAGTCAGCTGTCTGATTATATACATCCGGTATTGTAAAGCCAAACTTGATCGTACCAAATTAAAGGAACTAGCACGGCTTGGAAAAGCATTGAGAAACAACCAAACTGAGGAGCCATGTTCTCGGGACCCCAGTTGGTATGTTGTGAATCTATCAAATGTGAACACCGATGCGCTACAGTTAGAAGCATTGTTTTTCGGGCTAGATTACAGTGCCCATAAACGATTGATAGGATTGTTCATTGAGGTTCAGTTTGAGAAGATTTTTGATCAGTTAAATGATCTTCAACCAACTAGTATCGAGAAGCTAAGGTGATTTAGAAACAAACTGACCGATAGTGCTTAGGAAGTAAACAACGCACCAATAAAAGAAGCGTGCGCGCTTACAACCACACACTTACGAGTATTACACGAATTGCACAATGAGAATGTTGTTGTAATGAAGCCGAATAACTGTTTAGGAGTGGTAATCTTAGACAAAGATGAATACGTCAAGAAGTTGAGCATCATAAGCAGGGCTACTAACAATTTTACACGACTGGAGAAGGCAGGAGATTTGACTGCATTCGAATCCCAAATCATTCGCTGCTTAAAAATGGTTCATCAGTATTACATGATCGACAACGTTACTTATAATAGTTTAAAGCCAAGTGGATCAAATACGTCACAGCTATATGGGCTTTCAAAAACGCACAAGAGCGGAGTGCTGCTCAGACCGATCCCCTCGATGACGAACGCACCCCAAGATAAATTAGCTCCTTGGTTGGTTAATGTGCTTTCTCCGCTAGAAGCTCAGTTTGATCGATATGGCCTCAATGACTCCTTCAAGCTTGTCGAAGAGCTCGATGAAATGAACATATATGATTAGATGATGTGTTTCTTAGATGTGGAGTCGATATTTACTAGCGTTCCTCCACACCAGACCGTTGACTACATCTGTGAATTAACAGAAAGTTGCGAATGTCCGTTGACGATTTCAGTTAAATTCTTAAGTGAATCCTTATTCCTACGCAAACAGAATGCCAATGTTTACTTCCAAAACATGCCGTATCACCAAATTGATGGGGTAGCCATGGGCAGCCATCTGCGTCCCATACTAGCGGATTTCTTCATACTGATGACAGAACGAAGCCTATCCGAAGAAACAGCGCCGGTACCATATTACAAACGTTACGTGGACGATAGCTTGGTGTTCAATTTAACAGCAATGCCGATCGCACAGCTAATGGCGCGCTTTAACACCTTGTAAGTCTATTTGAGGGTTGCTTGCGGTCGAAACACAGAACCGTCTTCCAGATTTAGGTGCTCTTATCAGCTTCAGGAAAAACGGACGTAAAAAGTGCTGTCTACCAAAAAACAACATGTGCTGGACAGTACCTGCAGTTTAGCAGCTTCACGTCAATGCGGTAGAAGAGAACGCTTGTGAAGTCCCTGTTTAGTTGCGCTAGATGAATATGTTCGTGCCATTGTCTAGTTGATGTACTAGAACTAATTACCAGCATGTTAATTGCTGATGGCTACCATTGAAAATTTATCCAGTAGCTTAGCAAAATTCGTAAAATGAAATTTGCTGTACCTACTGTGCCTAACTAAAAGGTATTCTTAGGGCTGCAGTTTAAGGTTGACACTCCTTCATTGAGGACCAGAAGACGGCTGGTATCCGCCACACAGTGCACTTTCTTTGCTGCCGAAGTTGTACGCCTTGACCGAACACATAAGCTACCGTTGCCTGCACTAAAGGACACTCAGCTTATTGGCGCCAACTCTCACTGCGTATATCAATTCCCTTGGAACTGAAGGGCTAATTACATAGGCAAAAGCAATAAAAGCACTGAGATTTCGAATAAAGGTGCATGTACCAAAATGCGTTTAATGCGGGCTTATTCAGCAAGCAAGCCCAACTCAGACTACGTGTGTACGCTGGCCTCCAGCATCTTTGATCGGCAGGCACTTATTGACATCGGTTCATCAAATTGAGGTCAACAAGGCATTAAAAATTCTGCTGCGCCATTCTAGTTCCCGGCTCCTCCGGTTTACTGTGGCTATTGCCATTAATCGGATTAAGTCAATGCTTTGTATTCAAAAATAATTACTAGTCAGCTTCAGGCTGCCCTGGTTGTATAAGAAGGACACCTCTTTTTATTCTCGTTCGTTTGTAGGTATGTCTGTACCCATAAACTGTTATACAAAACTACCGGTTATCGTTATCGGCACTGATGTGATGATACGAAATGCATGCATCCGCATACTCCGACTTCTAAATGAGGTATTGTCCCAGCCGTCGGCCAGCCAATGCTATCAAGGTGCACTGCGTACCGAATTTTTGCGGTCTTGTCCTAATGCCACTAAGCTTACGTAGCATAGGATCTCAGCAGCCATGCACGATGCAGGAGCATCTATTTGTGGCACTATCACTCGTCGCCGCACAAGTCACTAGATACCGGATTGGTCGGTGAACCAGTTGGAATATAGAAGAACTCTCCCGGCTTGTTCTGAACACAATGTGACAAGACGGGCTATTAGGCGCAAACTAAATCGGAGCCTACGTGCTGACAAGGAAGCATAGGGAACCAGTCGACTCAATAAATGAAGGAGAAATGCGCAATGGGCAATTACCGCAAGCTCTTCTAGCTAATCCTTACCACTGGTCCCAGAAAACCAGGCATCAATGAGACAATCAGAGACAGCGCGAGTGCACTGATACACAATAAAGTGGCGTATGGCTCCTTGGGCGGAGCACTTTTAAGATCACTTCAGCTGGCCTCTGCTCCTGGACCCCTTCCTACTCAGGTGTTGCAGGACGATCCATGGACGCTTCGTTTAGAGGTTTTGTCCGAAGCCGAGTTCCGAAACGCCATCATAGCTCACAATCGTTTTTGTGCCGCTGGCCAGGATTCCCTTCCATCTGCACTCTTCAAGAATGTAGGTGAGATTTTCTGCAAACCTTGACCACCTTATTCGTAGGTATCTGGAAGGAAAGGAGTGTCCCAGCTAATTGAAGTGCATCAATTATAGTAGCAACATACAAGAAGCGCAGTCGCACATACCGTTCTAACCAGAGGGGTATTAGCATAATGCCAGTTGTGACAAAATTACTGGCCGCGATTCGTGTCCATCGCCTCACCATGAAAGATAAACCTCTGATTAGGAAAGAGCAAGCCGGTTTCGGCCCATGCCGTGGCTTTATAGACCATATATTCACTTTGAGACAGGTGCTAGAGCAGCGCCACACATACCGCAGATCGACAATAGCTTTATTCCTCGATTCAAAGCAAGAGTAACATTCAGTCGGTTGATCGTTACTGTTCCACATACTTGCACGGTAAGGTGTTTCCATGACATCTGTGGACATCCTACATGCTCTATACTCGAACACTACAGGCTCCGTCAAG